AACAATGGAATGAATCGCTAAATGCTAGAAACAGACGGAATATTACATAAACACCGTTTTATTGCAATGAAAGTCGATGAAAGTACAAACATTAAAAATTAATTGGACAAACTATCTACGGTTTTTTTCAAAATATGTGTTGTCAACTTAAGCTACTTTGGCAAGTGCCTTTACCTACCCTCAATAATGTTTCGTCCTTCTTGTTCTACTACGCGCTCCATCCGTTTCTTAATGCCACGAATGTATCGCGTGCAAACTTCAGGTGTTAGTGTCTTCCAATATTGGGCGATAGCCACTTTAAGGTCGTCCAAATTTCGAACGCCTCGTTTCCTGAGACAACTTATGAAGCAGAAGACTGATAAGAGCCAATATATATATGTATACGCGTTAATTGCTGTCAAGTACCTGATACAGTTCTTCATATTACCCCAAACCAATTCAATTGGGTTTAGGTCTGGTGATTCCGCGGGCCACTGCAGCCTATCGATCCCCCAACTCTCTAGCCTCTCCGTTGTAAATCGGCTTTTGTGAGGGGGAGCATTGTCTTGCACCAGACGACAGAAGCCTGAACTTATCGCATCGAAAAGGGAGCAAAGTAAGAAGGCAAAGTTCAGTTGAGAGCAAAACAGACCGTTGTATACACCAGACTTGAAGGGTAGGTAGCACCTCTCTAGAATTCTACAGTACAGTTCGCTATCAATTCGGCTGCTTCCTGGTAGTATAGCGAATTGTGTGGTGCCTCTAACCGAGATACCACCCCATATGTGGACCTTTGCGGGATGCTTGGCCCTACTTCTCATTCTCGAGTACTGGTCTCCTCGTTTCACGAAGCAGTACTTTGTTGAGCAGTCAACTAAAAATAGTATTGAGGAAACTCAGAAGAATTTTTTCGCAAGCGTAACTGTTATTCATACTCTGCACTGTGCATTCATCGGTAAATACACAGTCTGAAAATGCCATTCCCGCAGCAAGCATTTCCGAGCAGAAATCCAAACGGGCCAGTTTGTTGCTGTCCCTTATTGTGTGACAGTACTTGGTTGTCGTTTTTTCGAACCCTAAGCGGTGTCGTAGCCTCCTTATGTGCGATGTACTCACAACAATACCGCGTGTCCTGAGGCGATTCGCAACATCCTGCGATGTTGCCGAACTATTACTCTTGTAACACCTCTCGATTTCCAAGAGAATGTCATCGTAATGGACTGAAACAAGTCGTGCACAAATTGTCGAAGGCAGTGAAGTATTTTTCTACAAACCACGAAGGGCGCGCGATGAGAAGGATTTCTTAGATGAAAAAACGCCTTCGAATCTCTTCAAAAACCGTCTAACACTCTGGTAGTAGATAGACGGATCAGTCTAAAACCTTTGATATCACAGCAGCATAATTTTCACTGATTTATAGAAGAAACAAAACTCAACTTCTGCAATTCTTTGGTAACCGAGAGGACCGATTCCCCTCGCTGTCTCATGGCGACGACAGTCGTAATATTCATGAAAATTTTTTCGCTCATCTATAATTGGGAAAACGTCACTGTTGTCAAAAAATTAATAATAAAGAACAGCTGTTAAGACTGGAGGAAGGTGATAACAATGTAAGAACGGAGGCGGCACGGCCTATCACATGAACTGGCACACATCTTCGAGACTTCAGGATACACCCAAGGACTAATCACTGTGGGTATCAGACCCTCAACCTAGGCTGGCGTTCTTTGACCCTTGGATCGCAGCATTGGCTAAGGCCTATTTATACCAATCCGGAATAGACTATCATCGTCAGGTGGAATGAAAGCCGTTCGGATACACCCCAGCTTCACCAGAGCCTTTTTTTGCTTCTATTTTCCCGTTTTTGGATAGTATTTCTTCGCTTTACTCCTTTCTTTATCTTTCATATGGTTTTGGCTGTTGACCTGAGAAACGTATCGTTACTGTGAACGATGGTAGTTATTGTGAGACATCCTATCAAGGAATGTTCTTTTAAGATTGAAATGACAATTCAATTTTTATAAGTGAGCTAAATGCATGGCGGATGTGGTATACCGGCTAAACTCTTTGTGAAGCCTTTGGGCGTTGATCCGCATGCAGGCCGCATAAGCAATCAAACAGCCACAATGGCTCTGGTTGAATGCAAGGCGCAATCCCGATGTTGCTGACTCTAGTTGGACGCAAGGCGCAATCCCGATGTTGCATATTGGTTCTCTAGCGCGAACTGGGCAGGTGAGAGGTGTCCAGACCGACATTCATGACTCAAACCGATTTCCTTCCTTTGATTCAACACAGTTTTGACTTAAACACAGTTGCTAGTGCTCCGATATGTTTTTTCATGAGCCACTAGGTTCTTCAGTATCAACATCTTCAGTATAGCTCAGAAAAACCAGCTCAAATCGGTAAGCGCTCCCAAATTGCTTTTAGCTATCCATTGATCTATTTCTCGAATTCAAAAATGTTCAATTTCATTTTTGTCAATTCAATTCTGAGGACGAGCTTATTGTTTGCATACGAGTGCCGATTTCTGAAATGTTAGATGGGAATGAATGTGTAGCTGTATTTCGGCATGGAATTGTGATGGTTAGATGCACGTTCGTTTCTACACGGCCACTAATGTGATAATTACCTAGTCGTTGTTTTCTTTTTTCGTCTACGGTTTTGATGTGGCCGAATCTGATTAAAATAAAGGGAGAAAAGCGATAGACGATAGGGGTTGCCTTGGCTTAAACCTATGCTCGGATTTCTAACCCAACCGTCCGCACTTTCCTCTCTTCCATCCCGCACAACTCCATGTTGGCGTTTGGCGTAAATTAATTTCCCCATTTGGGTTATTGATTAGCAGCGAGAAGAGAGAAATGGCCAACCACAACGGCGATTTGATATGAGGGTATGTGTATTTGATGAAAAGGCGTGTATGAGTAATTGTGAATGTCGGCATTGTGCTCAATTATGAATTTATTGTAACATCTGCCTTAAACATCTAAAGCATGAGAGTATTTCGAATAAGTGATCTGCCGACGCTAATTGATCACGGAAAAGCTTTAGCTTTTAGCTTAGCTGCGTAAGAGGGAAATGTACTATCTGAGAAGTTTTGACTATGTCCGTATGATTCTTTCGAAACAGTTTATGCGGAGGGAAAGA